AGAGCCATGTGATATTCTGTGGTAATTTCAATGCTAGACAAAGACAGTAGGGAAACATCCCCTTAACCGACAAGGTAAGACCTAGAGGAGGCACTGGTACATACTTATGTTTTAATGTCTAAATAATGGAAGAACTACTTGACTGGTCTGGTAGGTAGTCTTAGTTTCAGCTTCATAGCAAACGGGTCGCCCCATCTTTGCTCCGCTCCTGTGCCAACGAAAAACACCCAGAATGTTTATCACAGCCCCTTGTGGAAAGATTGACAAGACTGCTGTGTCAGCATATCTAGCATACACTCGCATTAAAGCATACGGTAGCCATCCGAAGTCCTAACACAAACAGTCCAACATTAGAAATGCAGTTCATCATTGATGATAGCAGAACTTGTCGCCAACAGTTCAGCAGTTGCCCACGCGGTCAATTTTAATCACATAAGGGCACCGCCAACATTGCACGACAGGCATCGCGCCATTTTCTGAATCTACAATTCACACCACCACGTTGGTCAGTTGAAAAAACATTCCAAATGCAATCCGCAGCTCACAGGGTCACACCATGCATTCAACTCAGAAGCTGGGCGACGAAACTATATCCAGTCTACAAATGGAGCAAAAATGCATCGGCCACCGTCCGGCAGAAGCAAAAAAAATTGCCCCTGCTCCGAACAGCGCTGCTGTCTATCGTCCATTTTAAATAGACTAGACCTATGCCCTGGTTATACAGATAGTGTTGCTGACTTGTCTTTTCTTACTCCAACTCTGGCCTCCTCATGTCAATGGGACATCCTTAGCTAACATAGCAGTGACCACGTTCTATGTGTAGTGCTGCTAAAGAAATGCAAACTACTAACCCACCTGCTACAAAGAAGCATTATATATGAAAATACTGGCAGTGGCATCACTAGCAGAATCAGAAGAGCAGCTGCTTAAGCCATCCAATACAAGAAGCCTAGATCACAACCTCCATGGTGGAATATGGAGGTGGAAAATGCTGACAAGCAAAGAGGCAGGCAGTCAGAGAATGGCAACAAGCGCAAATGGCAGGCAACACCCATGAGCTCAATACCTTGACATAAACCATGAAAAAATCAACAATTCGTTTCAAAACGCACAGCAAGCTTTTCTGATGGCTACAGCAGTCTACAACTGGTATACCACGTCAATATAAGTTGGGTGACATTAGTGAATATGATGATAGATGACACAAAACAAAAAAAGCAAATGTGTATTTCTGTTCAACCAATAAGAAGAACTATCAGAGTGGTGCAATGAATACAACAACTGCATAAGGACAGGCACAGTAAATTAAAAATGGCTTCAAAGTTATTTTTTAACTTTACCCAAGCCTGGCAAAGAACTATCTTCTATAAGCAGTTACCAAATTATCAATGCACAAAACACCTTTGGAAAACATGCTAGCAAAAAAAATAATAGCAAAGAAAAATAAACTAGAACAAACAGGTAAACTACCATCAACATAGGGAGGATGTAGATCATATAAAGATATGAGGAGTAATGAGGCCGTTTTTGCTTACAATGTCTATGGGGGTTTCCATGCAGGAATTAAAATGTTATGTAATGCTAGACTTGAAAGATGCATACAAGGTCCCCTTTCAAAGACATACACCAGCTACTAAATAACATTGAGCTGCAATGAGAGTTACAGCTGCCATGTGGTCAACAAAGGCTGCTAGTCATCCTCTATCAGGATTTGATCCTCTCTGTCACAATATGCACTGGCAATCCTCATCCTCAGCAAGAAAAGGTACAAAATGAAGCAATGCCCATCATACTTGACTGCACCAGAGACACATCATGTAGATCAACAGATACCTACTAGATCTTCTAGATGTAAACAGCAGGCCTGAAATATGCAAAGTGTGTGCATACCTCGAAACCACTGAGGTTTTCACAAACCCAATGAGCAATAAACTGAATACACGTAAAGGCAACAGACTTAAACAAGGCCATTTTTTGTTGGGCCGGACAGAGTCAGTATTTCAAAGGATGATTTTCCCTCAAGACATAAACCGCGGACAGGAATCGATACTCATACCAAATGAATACAAGGGAGTATTTTGTGGTGATTATCACCATGACAAGACAGTGCAGTGATTTTGTCACCAATAGCTAATGCAGAAGTGAAAACATTCATGGAGGACTACATATCACCAAAAGATGCTGTTATATATAAAGATAGTTCTGTTCAAAAGCTAAGTGCATGGGCTTTCATGGTTAGAGCCTGAGGGAAAGTCATCAAAGAAGACTGCAGCCTTTGCTTCTACCACCGGCAGAATGACAATGGAGGTCATGGCTGTTACAATGGCCCTAGAATAGCTAAAACTCAGGAATTCATCAATGCATGTTTGCTCAGCAACTCAATGAACATGCTACAGAAGATCAAGGTGGGGTATATACAAAAACTGGCGCACAGCATTTCGCAAAATCACCTTATTTTTTTACCTTGTCTTAGGGCATGCTGGTATGAAAAGCAATGAGAGAGCACATGCCATAACTGGCAGGTATAGGCCTTCTATGGACAGGAGACAAACTGTCAATGCCATAGGAAACACTAAACACTTTGAGGTTTTCATTTAAATTGAAAATGATTTTTCACTGAATGAACACCTGGGTGTACTACTTGGAGCTGTGAGACAGGAATACCCTGTCATTACAATAACCAGAACAGAATGGAAGATGTTAGCTTAAAAACACTTGGAGACAGATAATAATCCCTATTTCAGAGTACCAAAGCTAGCCCAAATATCCAACTCATTACACCTACACTACTGCCAACTTACAATTGAGGTGAGATTAGTCAGTGTGCACCAGTTGTCACTAAATATATAGCACGTTTTGTTTTATTTGCCTGAATCTGTAAATTCAGGTTTACATGCAAAAAGCAAATGAAATGTATGAGGAAAATATTGAAAATATAATGGGACGAATTCAAAAAGGAGTGAAGAAAAGAGAAAAATGTCTGGGCAATCACTAGTTTCAACATTATAAAACAAAGAAGATGGCGCCACATTGGACACATCCTGAGAAGAAACCAGCAGGGAATCACCAAATAGGCATTAAATGCGAAATAAAGGGATTAAGGAGTTGAGCACACCCAAAAGAAACCATAAGAAGAACTCTGATGATGCCAAAGCTACCGATCTGAATTCCATCCACGATACTGAATTGACTGCACAGGATACAACAAAACAGAGGAACAGACTGCCAGCCCTATGTTACACATAATGGCACAACAGGATAATGAAACAAAAAATATATCAGGTTAATCAACCAAAATAAAAAATGGTCACACTGTTAATATCCTTAGATAGGACGATCGGCCATCCTCCGAATAACGGTCCTAAATTATCGAGGCGGAAAATATACCCTAACAGGGCCTCAGTCACGTGTCAATTGCACACTTTCGGGGTCTATAACGCCACCGTCGAAGTGCAAACTTCCAGCAACCTCCGCCACCGTTCAGAGTATCGCTCATGCTGCATGGATTGTGGCTAAACTAGATGGCTAATACTCACGAGCAAAAAAAATGAAGGAAGCTGCAGGAGAAGCAGTAGCTGCTGCTCCTGAGTCCCAGCCATCTAGTTTAGCTCCAATCCACGCCGCCACTCACGTGGGGGATACTCTCGGCGGTGGTGGAAGTCGGCGGAAGTGCGCAATTTAAGACGACGGAAGTACGAAATTGACACGTGACTGAGGCCCTGTTAGGGTATATTTTCTGCCACGATAATTTAGGACCGTTATTCGGAGGATAGCCGGACGATCAGTGGATTTTTGACAGCATCACGGCTACAAATGTGAGAACTGGGTGTAAAACAGCCAGGCATGAGAGCCACATCAGACATACAAGAAGTATTGTTACTGAGTACAGGACTGGCATTATTAACGGGTGGACATCATGTATATGCTGAAGAAGGGGTGAAAAGGTTCTTAGTGCACCTATGGGCATATTTAGAGTGCCTTAGGATGACTGCGTCCTAATATTATGGCGGCCATAAAATATCCCTACGGGGCTCACGCATATGTAAAATGTGGACTGTCTGCCAAGGAACAAATCGCGGCAAAACTAGGATTACTTGACAATTTCAAGAGACGCAACATTGCAGACGATAGTAGCAGATGATAAAAGCGGCCGTTTACAATTTTGAGCGTTTCTGCAGACGATAATAGCGACTATTGACAATTTCGAGACATTACAGACGATGAAAGCGACATGGCGGGTAGACCACGCACTCCGAAGCAGATTAGCAATACTGTTCGTCCGATTGAGGATTTAGCAGCGGTAGAAATCAGACCTGCCAACATGTATCCTCACTTTTCGGCATGTGCAAAATGCGATTAAACTCACTGCCGAGCGTATCCCCTGCGCCACTACGCTTGGTGCGGATGAGGGGCTAGACTAGGTGCCAGGGACTCACAAGCAAATTAATTGGAGGACGTTGCAGAAGATGTGGTAGCTGCTGCTCGTGAGTCCCAGCCATCTAGTTTAGCCCCCATCCGCGCATAGCGGCGTGGGGAATATGGTCGGCGGTGAGGCACAGTCACAGAAACAAAGGTCATATTGCTGAGACCCTGTTAGAGCATTTGTTTCGTTAAACGGAGTTGGCATATTTTTAATAGAAGTGAGCCCCATAAGGACATTTTATGGTCGCCATAATATTAGGACGCCGTTTGAGAAGAGCTTGTCATCCTCCTGACATTACTGACAAAACTCAAATGCCTTAGACACAAAAGTGAAAACCAATTTTATCAATTGAAATATTCTGGTATCATTTTTTTTTTAATTAGAAACAAAAATACAATATTTTTCTACGTGTTTCTTACTAATAAATTTAACAAAAAAGAACATTTAAAAATTAATATAATTAGGTTAGTCAAGATTATAATATAAGATAGCAAAAATGGGGAGGTAATTCCCGTTTCAGAATGTCAGACTAGTCACGATCACACGAAAACTCATAAAGCAACATTAAAGTACTTACTTCGTGGATGATTTTACAGCATTTGCATGGTCCTATCTGTCCAAATAAGGCAAGCAAAAAATCTTCGGTGACACGTTCGCTAAGGTTTCCAACGTAGCTGGAGAAAATAAAACATAATTTTTGTGAAGCGGAAGAAACAAACACAAGACGATAGACGGCGAGTTACGAAAAGTTTCAAGGAAGTGTATCTATCGACATATTTAACATCAAATCAGAACTATATACTTACAGTGTTCTTGTGTTGTACTCGTCAAACATGTTCTGAAATGAAAGATATAAAACGAGTATTAGAAGAAGAAAATTTTCCAGTCAGTCAACGAGAAACTAATTGAAAATAAACACACCTGATACATTATTATGGCGACTCGATACACGCGAAACGGGAACTGCGCCTGCGCAAAGAGGATTGTGGGAATGACCAGCAAACATGGATACCTTCAGATTTAAAATCGAAAGTGCAGGTTTAGGAAATTTCCGATTTTTGCGAGCTTTTCTTCTTTTGTTCCTTTACATGTCGCTGGAGCTAGGAAACAATATATTTAATATCGTTTCACGTTTCTCATTATATTTGAATAAATTACTTCAGTAAGATTCCTGTAACATGTTGAAGTGACTATATGTTGTGAGCATATTGTCATGGGGGCAGCAGTTTTTTTGTCTCGTTATCACATACCAATTCCGACGAATTAACATGTCCATGCAGGTCACAGCTTAACTCTTAGTGTATTTAATCAAAAGCCACTTTAATTCAAGCTGATCCTGGAGGAACGAATTGTGGATCTTGATTTCGACATTACTGCTATGCGTATGGCTTTCAATCAATATCATCGAGTGCCTTTCCGACTGGCGTTGACGATAGTTATTCTCATATTGTGATCTTAAACAACATGTTTCATATCAGTTTCGTGTGGCGACATCTTCACAAGCCATGACAAGATCCTGCTAAGGGTCTTCTTCCCTTGTTATCATCCTCTGTCTTCTTCTGCTGTCTGTTATCACCCACTGGAGCATGCGTAGGCGCCTGATCACTCCATTTTTTGCTGTCTCGTGCAGCTCATTTTGTGCCCTTCTGCGTGCGCATCCGTCAGATATAGCTTATTTGAATGCAGACTGTTGGTTCCTTGCCTCTCGGACAGAAGCACTCTGGCTTCGAAGGAAACTTCTAATTAGTTGACTCTTACGACGTGCTTGTAAGGGTGACAGTTGGTCTATTCTAACCCCCCCCCCCCACACACACACACACACACACACACACACACACACACAATGGGCTCCAGGAACCTTCACGGGGATCCCCTGCTCGGCTTTTTAAATTTTCTTTGTTTTTGTGGGGGTGTCTTCCTATCCGCTTTAACTTTGTAACACTTTCTCGTCGACGTCTGTGGCTTAGGCGTTGCGAACGTGCTTCGTAATGCCGGGGTGCCTGTTTCGACCCCAGCTGCTGGCCTTGCGCCTTACCTTGGTTTCAACAGCGGTATCGATAAGCTGACCGTACAGAGAGGAATGGCAAACTACTTGACGTAAATTTCCCTAGAAAAATCATAACAGCCAAAATATGCAGGGTTGGTTCTACAACGTCATATAAAGGATGTGTGTTGTCAATCAAGATGATGATGACCACTCTTTTTCATCAAGTATGAGTACGAAGATGACTGATGAGGCCGATGCAGGCCCGAAAAGTTCTTGGACAGTGAGGACAGGGAATGAGCGTTGTGCCGGGGAGGGTATCTCCTGCAGTTGCCTTTTTGTCCATCCTTTTCTTAATAAGTCTTGCTGTTTTGTTTGCTTCACATGCAGCTGCACCCTTGTGTAGAGTTGCACGCCATGCATTTCGGTCTTGAGAGGCAGCCTCCCAATTGGTGTCATTCATCCCAAGTTGCTTTGAGTGAAGACTTCAAGGTGTCCTTAAAACGTTTCTTTTGTGAAAGAAACTTTTATAAATAATAGAATGAAACATGAAGCATGTATTTTACTTCATCTGGATTTGTATAGTTTCAACAACTGGGGCAACTCTGATAGGGTTGTGTAAAAGCTGAAAGAATTGTTAACTCTTCAAATGGCCCACGGTATACTTGAAATATATTAATATGACTAGACTTCTCTCTCACACAACAAGTAAAGGGGTCAAAATGTGTTGAGAATTTTCAAGAGATACTTCGTGTGGGTTGGTGGTTTCTTTCAATCCAAAGCTTGTGTGTCTTGTTCTCGTGACTTTTTTGACTGTATTTTGGTATAATATTCGCATGCTTGCTTATAAGTTTAAAATCAAATGGATTCAATGGGAATTCAGAAAAAGAAAAATATCTGAGCAACCACCAGTATCAATCATTATAAGACAGCGAAGTTTGCACTATATTTGGCGGCGTTATTATTTGCTGTCCTTTTTAGGATGAAATTGTTCGTTATTTGAAACCCCACACTGGCTCTTGCCAGGGGCCGCAATATAGCCAGGCCATAAATATGACCATTTGGCTTAACGCGGTTTTTGGGACCTCTCCACGGTGATCCTCATCCACATAGTGGCACTTTGTGTCATCGGGTGTTTATCGCTTGTGTGATGTCCTGGTGGGGTAGAAAGTCAGTCAGTCATAGTATATTTGGCACATTCTAAGAAGAGGAAACCAGTGAATTACCAAACAGGCAGGGAAATGGGAAACAGGAGGACTGGGGAAATGGGAAGGTCTAAGAGGTACGCTAAAACGAATGTTGATGAAAAAAGCCAAAGGTGCTGGAATGGAAAAATATACTGCTAGCCTTATGTGACATATAGTGGTATAACAGGATTATGAATGAATGAACGAATTAGTTATGAACAAATGAATGAAGGAAGGCGCGTTTTGCGAATTAATAGGGGAAAAAACACGTTTGACACTACATTTCTTTAAAGCATTGATTAACGATGTTTCCGTCTCTGTGGGATTCAAAGTTTATTTACATAGTCGCTGCGGTAGCCTATTAGATCAGTCAGCATACATTTGACGACCAAGTGGCAAGCTAACGGTTAGTTTATCTGACACATGTTGGACTTTGTTTGCAATTGGCAGAGGGACACCGACAGACAATTTGGACACGATAGACTTAAGGGATAAGACTGTCTTTTCCACTAGATACCCGAACAAGCCTACCGGGGCCCGTCACCCACGACGTCCCGATGTTTCAAGAGCGAGCTCAAAGCCCTTTCAGCAGCTTCGCGCAGTTGTTTTAGTGATCGATTGCGCTCGTTTTCTCGCAAGCCCAGCTGCTTTATCACATATGTACATGGAAATGGAGATGAGACCTCTTGCGCCTACCTCGACGGCTAAGATTCTTACTGTGTGAGCTTCGTCTCTCATCAAACCATCCGCGAGGTCACTGTATTTCTCGAACTTATACACATAACTTTCGTTCATTCGCGACTTAAACGGCACGGTCAGCTCAATCAGGACGAGCTGTTGTTTCTCCGCAGAGTGTAGGACTAACTCTGGGTACTTTTCGTGACCAGGCAGGTCAACTACCAGTAGCCAGTCCCTCGCACAGTCAAGCATCGATAGACGACCTTGTTGAATTTACCTTTATAAATCTGCCCAGCCTTGAGGAAGCGCACAGTGACAAGAGTAGGACTGGCTCTCGTATTAGCCCTCATCCTAGCTTGGCCCACAACGGCCGCTAACTCTTTCAGGACCTTGTTGTGGCGCTAAGTATATCTTCCCTGACCTAGGGCTTTTCTACACGCGGACAATACGTGCTCGAACGTCTGTTTATCTTTGTTTATGCTTTAATTATGCTACCGTGACGACTTCTTATCCCACAGTACCTTCTGCAAAATCACCAATTCGTCTTGTCCCTGTCCGAATAACATCCGGTAATCCGTACAGCAGGGGAAACCAACGCTGAGCTTCATAAACTCAGGTGGGCCCACTCTCAAATGTCTAGGAGCTCGTGGGCCGAAACATTTGTCGACGAGAGGTTACTTCTACTGACGATTGGTAGACCCTGCTGTACATGCTCCCCTGTGGAGTTTCTTCTTATTGCATAGTGGGCGTGCCGGGTCGGTAGCCGCATGCCACTTGACCGTGTTGACACCAGACGGCAAAACATCGTAGGCAGATCGTACGATAAAGTTCAGCCGCATCGGGGCCATTCGCCAGATCTCACTCTATGTCAGTATTCGTGGCAAGGCGCTCTCGAGGCCGATCCACTGACCTTGCTACGACTGTTGAGCGGCTTTTTCGACCCGAATCTCGTTTTCGGCATCCCTTATCTGCTATATTACCATGTCTCGGCGCTCTTTTATTGTGGCTTTGGACCACGAACTGACTTTCCAGTGTCCTAGGCCTGACGGTTTGTGTGTAACCCATCACTTTTTAAAATTTCAGTGCATCTTGGGCAGATTCAATCGCATTTAGGACCTTCCATCTCTGACCTGTCTTTAGAGCGGGCTGGACAGTAGTGACCGTGGGGTCTGAAGACTCGCACAGCATCATCGCGAGTCTTACTTTGCCAACATTTAACTCTTTGGTTATTGATTTGAGTTAAAGTACCAGCTTAGCCTGTCTACAATACAGAGCCGCATCGGTCAGACAAGGTGGTGCTCCCAGCCATTTCCTCATAGCTGTGTTGATTTTACGCTCCATTGCCTCCACTGCCGTCATCACTTCGTAGACGAGCAGCGGCCAGAGGAGCTTTAGGATCAACATAAATTTGAGACACCAGACCTTTAACTTTCCTATTAGCCTGCAACGCTCGATCGTGAGCAGGCCTGTAGTCAGTGACCCATGTATTCGCAGGACCTCCGCACTATCAGACAACTTCGAATCGTAAACACGCCCAAGGCTCTTCACCGGATTCTCTAGAACCGCGGGGATCCGATTCCTTACCACCGTGAAAATTATCGCCACTACCTTACCTTTTAGGATTGACAGACTCCTCGACTTCTGCGGTTTAAACTGCATACCGCACCACTGGACTATGCCGTCCAATATTTTCATGCGGTAATCCTCCTCACTGCCCGTGATCATAGTCGTGTCATCCATAAATGCACGTAGTGGCGGCCTCGAGTGGTCCCCGGTCTGCAGGCCTTGTCCGTAGCCGGCCGCCCCGTCTAAAATGACCTGCATGGCCATAATGAACAGTATTGGCGAGATCTTACATTATATAGCTATCCCAACCTGGAGCTCAGTCCATCTCGTGGTAAACGTCGGGGTAGAGAAGCTTATAGCGTACTTTGAGAAATATTGCTTGATCATTTCGGTGACCTGTGTCGGTACGTGAAACATGCG